TGATGATAAGTTGAGACGACCCCTTGGATCTCGTGAATTATGGGTCTCCCCAAAATCACGTTGTACACTGAAGGAGCGTCGATGACCAAAAACTCAATCATGACGTTCCGGGCTGCCTCATCGCAACCGATGGTGACAGGAAGTGTCACCTTCCCATCTGGATAAGTTGAAGCCCCATTGAACCCGGATACCGGATAGGGTACCGGCGTAAGGTGCTTGGGCTTCAGCTTAATTTGGTTGTAGGCCTTTCGGAACAGAATGTTTGCTCCGCTGCCACCGTCAACAAGGACCTTACTGACGTCGTGGTTGGCCACCGTGGCGATGATCACCAACGGATCCTCGTGAGGGAACATAATCCCCCGGCAGTCGGCGGCTGTGAACGTCATGTTCGGCACCGGCGACTGGGGAGATTGAATGTCAGCGTTGTTCACCTGGTGAGTCAAAGCTCTAAGGTGACGCTTGTGCTCCCTCCGAGAGTATATTCCTCCCGAGATAACATTGATCGGAGGGAATTTCCCCTCCGGTTTTTTACTGTTTTTCCGGGGGAAATCAAGGTCCTGCCGAGGGTCCTTTGCTAACCTTTCGGATTCTTTTTTCTCGCGGTGATCCGCGATGTATTTTTTCAAGTATCCCTTCCGGACCATGTCTTCTATCTGGTCCTTCAGCTGGATACACTCTTCAGTGTTGTGGCCCGAAGACTCGTGGAACTCACACCACTGATTTTTATTTTTTCGCTGATACCACTCTGGGAGTGGTCTCGGCTTTCGGTAACTCTGCTCCTCCTTCGTCACACTGTAAATTTTGGCGCGTGGAAGAGAGAGCGGAGTGTAGGACTCGTATCTGCCTGTGTATGAGGCAAACCTGTCCTTCTTTAGGTCGCTGGCCGAAGATGGCTCCGAGGCCTTTGATTTTCCCTTTGCCTTATGGCCTTGGCCTTCAGACAAGGGTATTTGCCTCTGTTTCCCTCCCCCGGATTGAGGTTGGGTTTTTGCTTTATTCCATTCTTCGGCTCGGATGAACTTATCCGAAGCACTAAGAGCTTCCTCCAAGGTCTGCGGGGTATGCATGACCATGAAGTCTAGGAATTTTCCTGGCTGAAGGCCATTCTGCATTGCAAAAACAGCTAGCCCCTGGTCCAGCTGAGAGACGCTTGATGACTCGTTACTGAAACGGGTCAGGTAGTCTCGGAGGCTTTCGGTTTCCCCCTGTTGCAGACCCATGAGCTCTGCGGTAGTCTTTTCTCGGCGGTTTGCCGTGGAAAACTTGCTCCTGAACTTGGAGGACAGATCATCCCAACCTGTTATGGAGCCTTGCCTTACTCCCTTGGAGATCCACGCTTGCGCGACCCCCTTGAGAGTGGTTGGGAAATATTTGCACCAAGTTGCCTCGGATCTGGGGCAAAGATGCATATGAGCCTCATACGAGGCCACGTGGTCCTTCGGATCCGTGGTCCCGTCATATGTGATATGCGACGGTATTTTAACCGTGGGTACGCGCTCTTCTAGTATCCATTGCTCGAATGGTGAACTAGCGGGAAGCATAATGGCCTTGCCCTTGTTCCTGGCCGAAGGGACCGCGCTCCGCCCTCTCAGAGAGGTAGGAGTGGTTTTCGTCCCTGGCTGGGAAGTCTGGGCCTCGGCTGCAGGGAACGTGAGGCGACTACGCACGCTCGGTTCCTGGCCGCCGAGTCGGTCAAGGACGCTTCTGCGAGCAGTCTCAGGTTCCCGGCGAGTAGATTCTGGCCGAGAAGCTGAGCTGCTGCTCTTATGCGCTGCTGGTCTTGAGGATGAGGATCCTTTAAATAATTGAGAGTTCTTCTTCCTCTGTTTTTCATTTTTCCAAGAATCCTCCTCCCACTCTTCCAGTTCCCGGAAGGAAGGAAGCTTCCCACCGTCATGGTCTAACTTCCTCCGCTGATGCCGGGTATGCGGAGGAGTTCGATCACGAGGCGGTGGCATATTCTGTGCCCTCATTGCCTCCATGAGTACTGCCAGCGCTCTTGCCACCTCTTCCGAACTGGGCCCCGTCAAAGGGGTCTCCGGCCGAGTGTGGGCATGAGGCCGTGCAGCCGATGGTTGGCTTCGGGACACTGAATATGTCCTATGATCAGACTGACCCCTGCTAGACCGAGAGTGGTCCGGCCTATATTGAGAGTCATGCATTATAGGAGATAGGGAATCCTCCTTGTGTGATCCTCCCCCCGAGCCGGCACCCTTGGGAGAGTTCCGGTCCGGCGAGGGCGATGGTGTAGGGGTTTTAGGCTTTTCGCCCGCTCCTTGACGGAGGCTTTTGCTCTTGCGGTTCTTAGCCATGGCTGCTAAGACAATTGCAAGATGATCTTGGTTAGGAATTTGGCTTAAAGATTTTTGAAAGTCTTCCCCACAGACGGCGCCAAATTGTTTCGGTTGAAAACAATGGGACCTTGCCGAAGGTCCACTAAAATGGAGAAGACTGGATTCGATCCAAGCTGTGTTGGGCCGAAGGTTTCCTGCACAGTGAACACACGTAAACTAGCCTCGGGGGTGTTTCCGAGGAAGGCCCCTCCGATGCTAAAGTCAGTACAATGTGTAAAAAGGAAGACACTATGCAAGAGAGTTTGTAGCTTGAGGCTTTTGTGGAGTATTTCTCAATGCAAGAATGAGCATATGAGTTGGAATAATCCGTGTATGAGATAATGTATGTGATGATGCATGTGTTGTTGTGTCTCGTATGTGATGTTATGAGATGTCTTATGTAAGAATATGACTCTCTCCTTGAATGTGTTAATATGAGGGCTTTTATACCTCATCATATTTGGAGAGGTTGGGCTTTAGCCCAATTGGCTTACTTTGTGGGCTGACTTTTGACTTTTGAGCAATTGGAGAGTTGAACCTTGACCTTGGGCTTTTAATTGGATCATTTAGTGCTCAGGCCCAATTTTGACTAAATTGGACCCAAACAGAAAGGATTAAAGTTAAATTTATATGGAGTATGCTCTTTCATCATTGATCTTGGAAATTGAATATGACACATGAACGAATTGGACCCTACTTTTAATTACCCATGCAAAACAGTGAGATTCATGTGTTAATTGATTAATACTTCCTCCTTTTTTATTGTTCTATTTTATGACTTGACATAGCTGTAAATTAGCAATTTTCACTCTTAATATTTTGTATTTCGTATGTACTCCGTAATAGTGTAATTGTAAATGTTTTGAAAATATGTATCAAGCTGAATTCAATGAGATTTGAGTCAATTGACATAACAATGATTTTAGATCATTATGTATAACAATAATGATCATATTAATGTTTCCGTAAAATATCAAAAGTAAAAAAATGAAATAACTACAACATTAGGTTTGACGCAAAGTGAAATATCTACATATGAAATCTTGTAGTGGTACCCAATATATGAACTTCGGAGTATATCATCTATCATTAAAATATTTCTACATACAAAAAACATGAATATAGTTAGCTAAGGCTAAAATATGCCGAATATTAGCAAACAATTCCAAATTTGAAGTCTAACCACTCTTCTAATGAAATGGTTTTAACGCTCTAAGGGCTTGTTCTCATTGACTGAACTCAGCTGAACTGAACTGAATTGAAGTGAATTGAATTGAGCTGAGCTGAATTTCAACGTAAGAGAATAGACCCTAAGCCTCTAACTAATTTCTGACATTTTGATTGTGAAAGCACAATTTTCTATGCACTACTTAGATACAGAAATAAAAGAATGTCAAAATTTACTCATATATCCTTCAAAGTTCAAACAAATAACTAAATGAGTAGTCCAATTAAAACTTCTGAAAAAATGGCTCCCACTTAATAAAACCATCAGTCCACTTCCTTTAATATTCTCATAATTTCCCTAAAAAAATACGGAGTAAAATAAAATTCTGAGAACTAATTAATTCGGCGAATTTATGACATAGTAATTTACTCTCCAGGATAGATTATTAATGGTTACACACTTACACTAGTTGTGTACCAGTACCATTGTTATAGTTGGGAGTCTCAATTGTTGGTCAAGGTTTATTGAGTCTCTAAGCCTTATACTTTAAAATTTAAAGCACTTTCCTCAACAATTTGGACCACTGTTTTTTTTTTTCCTTTTCTTAAAAGACTTTTTTTTTAAATTATTATTATTATTATTATTATTATTTTTTATTTTACTAAACATGGTCTTATCGAATCTAATTTTACATCAGAAGATGTTATGTAATTATAATTCATCATATACAAGTAGATTGTTTGGATGTTACATCTTACATGCAAAAAGTTTAGTCTTAAATCTGTATGATTATATTTCTATTTTCCTAAATAACCATGTTAACAACAATTATAATTTACTTATAAGTTGGTCCACTAATATATTCGTGCATGCACGAGATGAATCAGAAAATTAAGTTGTATTATCTATTTCTTTTCCCTTTATATGTGGATAGATACAATGTATGAGAAGTTAATTTAATCGTTTATTTTTAATTCATAAAAGAAAGTGTGTAAAACAACAAGGATGAGTTATATAAGCACTTACAAATGATATTTATTGCCAAAAAGGAAATCATCCCTCTAGTCTTTACGACCTTATTATGTGCTTAGAGGCGTGATTATGACTAATTGACTACCTTAAACAAAAATTATATATGTATTCACCTAGTTACATGTACAATTCACTGCATAAGGTAAGATGCTGTTGGTGCACATAGTTGGTAGGTGCATCACACTAGCTAACATCATAAGACACATCTCGTGCATAGTCACAAGTATTTGCCCATGCATCTCATGCGCTAACACATACAGAATACAAGATATTAAACGAGTATATGTCTATTCTTCTCATATATCGGTATATACACAACGTTACATCATACGTGTCATCTTATGCGTCGATACAATGATACATACACAATGTTACGTCCTACGTGCCACCAATAAGGTAGCTAGAGTAAGAAATTGGCAATAGAAGTGCATAGTGTACATAAATATAATGAATCCAATTACAACTTTATTAAGGCGGTGGCTTACCTCACTACACACACTCAAAGATTACACATTTAAACACTCTCTTCTTTCTCTCTCTCTTTCCTTGATTTGCTGTTGAAAACATCCCCTTCAATAATCTCACCAGTTGTACTAATTCCTTCATTTATTAACCCAGATTTCAGATTCTTCTTCAATACACTGTTTTACACTCTCTTCCCCACTCACTCTTTCACTCACCTTTTTTCCTTTTCTCTCTATCTTTTTCTTCAATTGTCTCTTTCCTCTTCTCAAAAAGCAAATCAAAAAAGCTAAAAAAAACTTAAATTAATCCTAAAAATTTCCCTTTTTTTCACAATTTTTTGGTCACAAAACCTCTTAAATCATCTTCACTTTCTCTCACTAGGGTTTTTACTGATAATGCAAACCTCTTGAAAAATCATCAGCAAAAAAAGAAATGGTGTTTTTGATGGGTAGGAAATGTTTGGTTCTTTTTCTCTCATTTTTGCTTCTTTTTTCTGGGTTTTCTTCAGTTTCTGCTTCTACCCCACCTGCAAGTAAGTAATCCCACCTCAAAAATTACTTCAAGTTCTTCACATTATTATTTTCTTGCTGATTTTTATTGTAATTTTGCTCTAATTTGTTGATTTTTTTGCAGAAATTGTTAGTGGCTTCATCTCAAATTCTTTAGCTAGATTGATGAAATGGGTGTGGTCACTCAAAGCTACAACCAAAACAGGTTATTATACTAATTATTTTAAATTATTTTTTTATATTTTTGAGATCTTAATTAATTTTCAATTTATTTTTTTAATTTGAGTGTTTTGAGAGAAATGTGGGTTATTAATTTATTATTATATTGATTAGTTTTTATGATGATGATTACAGCAGTTTCTGGGCGTTCAATGATGAAATTTGAAAGTGGGTATTTAGTTGAGACTGTATTTGATGGAAGTAAGCTTGGAATTGAGCCTTATTCTGTTGAAGTTTTACCCAGTGGAGAGCTTCTTATTGTGGATTCTGCTAATAGCAATCTTTACCGGATCTCTTCTGCACTTTCTCTCTGTAAGTGTGCTTATTTAGGAGTATTAGATTCATGGTATTAGTGTTTTTGCTAGTTAAGGGCCTGTTTGGTATCACTGTCAGTTTTCGGGATCGAATTTGATTGCAATTGTATTATTGGGTTGTCAATTTGCTTTGGATGCCAATTTGATTCTTGTTTTTGTGATGCTTAAATTCATTTATACTTATGTAGAAAGTGGTTTATTTGTGTGCACATGTGCATGTGCATTGTTTATTTGGGTGGATCCTGAGTGTGGTTTATGGTTATAATGCAATGATGCAGACAGTAGACCTAAGCTGGTTGCTGGATCACCGGAAGGATACTCTGGACATGTTGATGGGAAGTACAGGGAAGCGAGGTTGAACCATCCGAAAGGTGTTGCTGTTGATGACAGGGGGAATATTTATGTCGCTGATACTATGAATATGGCAATCAGGAAGATCAGTGATACAGGTATTTCAGAGACTTGTGTATGCTACATTGAGTAGATTATTGCCAAATTGTCCATTGAGGATATGAAAAACACATTGGTATTAGGAAGGAATGATAATTCGTGTGATTGAACTCCTTTCCATTCGGATATAGTCTTGTATGAAGCTGATAATATGATTGTAGATTGAAGAGCTTATAATAGTAAAATGTCCTGATTTATTGGTAGAATGTGATATTTTTCAATCCTGTTTTTTACTGAATGATTGTGGGATGAGCTCAAAGCTGACTTGTTAAGTGCAGAGTATCTAGACTAATCGTACTATTTGTTTCAGGAGTCACGACTATTGCTGGTGGGAAATGGAGTAACAGAGGTGGTCATGTTGATGGACCGAGTGATGAAGCAAAGTTCTCCAATGACTTTGACGTTGTCTATGTTGGAAGCAGTTGTTCCTTGCTGGTCATTGATAGGGGGAATCGGGCGATCAGGGAAATTCATCTCCATTTTGATGACTGTGCTTATCAATATGAAAGCAGCTTCCCTCTTGGTAAGCTAAAGCAGATTTTATAATCTACTTGATCTGTCTGGTGACATTGCTTTTGCTCATTCTTTCGTTTTACCATTACAGGAATCGCTGTACTTCTTGCTGCTGGATTTTTCGGCTACATGCTGGCCCTATTGCAGCGACGAGTTGGTTCAATTGTGTCTTCTCAGAATGTAAGAATTACCTTCCCCTCCTAAATTGCCTTTTTGGGTGTAAAAATGCTATGCATTATATGACTTGTTTTCTTCATCGCAGGATGCCAAAGTAACAGAAAACACTTCATCTAGTCCATACCAGAAGCCTCTTAAATCTGTGAGGCCCCCATTGATCCCTACTGAAGATGATACAGAGAAGCTAGAAGAAGGGTTTTTCGGATCACTTGGGAAGTTGCTTGCCAATGCTGGCACAACAGGTATGGAAATAATCGGTGGCATGATTCCAGGTTTTAAAAAAAAGCCAGTGGTGTATCAATACAGGAATCAAGGACCGTATCATCAAACCAATAATTGGCAGTCACCAGAGAGTTTTGAGATACCCAAAGAAGAGGAACCTCCTTCAATTGAAACTAGAGCGCCCACCCCAAAGAAAACCTACGCCTTCATGTCTAAGGATGCAGAAAAAATGCAGCAGCAACTGAGGCAAAGCCGAGTTTTCTACAGTGGTTGGGACACAGAATTTCAGCAACAGCAACTACAGCAGCAGCAGCAGCAACAACAGCTGCAGCAGAAACATGAGAAACATCAGTACCGTCATCAGCATCACTCATCTATCCCTCAGACATACTACGAGCAAAGCTGCGAGAAAACCAACGAGATTGTGTTTGGGGCAGTCCAGGAGGAAGGACGACGTGAATCAGTTATTAGGCCTACTGATTATGCTATGGATGCATTCAATCAGCAAAATATTCGGTTCAGAGCAGGGTACGCCCGTAGCTTGTCTTATACATAAGTTAGATCTTCGATTTGTTGGCACATATATGTCGTACCTATTATCAATTCCTTCAAAAACATAGTGATCGGTAATTCGGTATGGTGATCCCTTTTTGAAGTAGGAGTATTGGGGGGGGGGGGGGTAATAATCTCACTTGATGATTGTTTAACGCCTTTTGTTTGAGAAATGGCATCCCCTATATATTGAAGTTAGTAATATATTGTCCATTTTCTCCAAGTGCTTTTGATCTCTTATTTTTTTGATGACTTTTGATCCCAAGTACATCGAAACTCTAAAATCCCATGAATGTGAGGGATGACCACCATCAATCCCCAAATCCCAAGTACACATTTTGTCACCATTTTTTGTTGCTCATTATGTTCATTATGTACAAACTCAAAAATTCAACTTTCTTTATTCTCACTTCACACACATTAGTGGTGCAATTATTATGGTTGTACAAAGTATGTTGTATTCATCAACGCCCCTCATGGGTTCATTCTTTTCACCGGTATTTCCCTTATCTGAACTTATCGAAACAAACAAGGACGTCTTGTACCTATCCTCAAAGTCTGAAACTGGAGTTTCGACTTTCGAAATCAGTTTTCTTGTACAGCACAGAACTCGATGTGATCAATCATTGTCTTGTTTAACCTTGCATCAAGCTGATCCAAAAACAACACATACACACAAACAAACCTACAAACATGCATACATACATATAATAATACATACAATATGCATACATTCTTTAACATAACTAGAAGCCAAATATACTTGGCAAGTGGCTAAAATATAATTGGAGTATTAGTCACAATAGCATGGTTCTTGGTTTGGTGTAAATTTAAAATTCCAGATTCCCCGGGAAAACCATGGTAGCAGCCAAGCAGAATTAACAATGTTTATGAAGAAACAAAAGAGTGTCAGATTTGAGTGCATTCTTGTCGCAAGAATATGTGCTGACTGCTGAGAAATTTCATCAGTTTCTCACTGTCAGATGCTGCAGTCTTATGAAAAACATACTTCCTCGCCAGCCAGAAAGGGTAGGGCATTGTGCATGTGTTTTATTTATTTTTTATTTTTTCCTGCATATGAATTTCTATAATGGGTTTGTTCAAAGTGTTAATTATTTGGGTTTTGAATGTGATACTATGGACGGGCAACTTGTAGGTTATGTAGGTCTATGACACATGTACAACAAGTTCTCGGGATTGGATTGGGAAAAATCATAATACGTTCTAAAGATATCTATTAACTATTCCTAAAACACAGTATTTTCCGTCTAAATGCAAGAATGATGTTTTTTTTAGGCCAAATGACCTCTTACATTAAATTATATATTAGGTGACGTTGAACCGACACTATTTCATAATTTTGATGAAAATCTAAATTTTTAAAATCACCTTCTTTTTTTTTTTTTTTTTTTTTTTTTTTGGGTACAAAGGTGCATAATTTTTTATTTAGTACCCTACATATAAAAAAAATTACTATGATCTATCCAACCCTAAAAATTGGATTATTACTCTGTATAATGTGTTAATTAAATTTGGATTTTGGAGGGGGAATTATTTGAAATTTTGTCCAATCACGTCGAAAGATTTATCAATAATTATGAGTTTGTATATAGTTGCTACCTCAACATAGAGAAAGCAATGAGTTAGTTGAGGAAGTCTTAGTTCTATCACTTTGCCATTTGTTTATCATATAATAAAATACTGCGTAGTAAATAAATCAACAAAATTATCTAGTGATAAGACAAATCGACTCCGTATTAACAATTGCGAGCTCATATTAAATAAAAAGTCTGATGATCTATTGACAGTTTTACCAATATATCACCCTTTATTAAATTTACTTCTAATATATGATTACAAATGTGGTGTAGCTTATGTGCCCCAGTCGGTTGTACATATACTTGCAAGTTATATCAAGATTTGCATTCAATGTCCACTTGCAAGTTGCAACTATTGGCATCACAAGTTATAAAGTAATCTCAAAAATAAGACATTCCTATCTAACATTATATTACGGAAAATTATAATGACAATTTTTTTTTTTTTGATAAAATCGGGACGAGATTATATTAAATCAATATCCGCTAAAGTCGTGAGGCTTTGGGGGAAAATGACCCAAACATACATACTCATCACAACCCCTAGTGATTATTTATGAAGCCTAAATATAAGTCCTAATGTTTTTTATGAAGCCTAAATATAAGACCTTAAAATTATAATGACTAATGTTTTTTATGAAGCCTAAATATAAGACCTTAAAATAAAAAGATATATTAATTTAAATATTGATTATATATTTACAACGTGATTGTGACATGTATTTGTAAATTTATTCGAATTTAAATACATTACTCGTAAATGTTTATTACAACAGTAAGAGCTTTATATATTATTACTCTTATAAATTGTTGCTAAAAGATATTTTGAATTCTAGTAGATCTTTGTAAATAAAATTGAGATCAACAATTCAACACACTTTATTGTAATTTAGGAAAGTTTTTCTTGATACAAATTGTACTCCGTAATAAATTAACGGAAAGTTAATTTAGTAAAAAAAAAAAAAAGATACAGTAATAAAGTTTCCAAGTTTAATTAGCTAATTAAGAAAGCTTTTCTTACCCCTGCAATACTAAGCAGTACGAGCACAAGTCATGGTTTGCCGCCTTATAGATTTCATATTTAGGTTTGGATTAGGAAATTTTTATGCTTGGTGACCAAGCTTCCTCTCCTATGTATATATATATATATATATATATATATATATATATATATATAGCCTTGATTATCAATGAAAAACATAAACAAGCTAAGCAAGAAAATCCATCCTTAGACCTTAAACACTAAACCATAAACCCGTAAACGAAGATCGAAAAGATGTCAGCTGTTGAGCCTTCTTCTCTGTCAACTCAAAACTTTGGAGAGATTTTTTGTGCTCCGAATACATGGTTTGCTGATGATACTAATGTCCAATGTGTCACGAAACAGAAGACGAAACCAACCGATAATGGTGCTGTGTTGATGTTTAGTCCTCAGACTGGAATACTGTTCTTGAAGGTTATTGACACCAGTGAATTTGCTGCAGGACAGGGTCTGAATCTACTAGCAGAGTGGAAAACAAGTGTAGAAATCGCGGCTATTGTTCGAGCTATTCCTCTTGAAGGAAAACCGAAACAGATTGTTGTAACTCGTAAAGAACTGCTGGAATCTTTGAAAGTACAATTTCAAGATTCACCTGACATAGTCATCAGAGCCTGTGAACTGCAATTCCCTATTTACGCCTCATTAATAACAGACAAACTCGGTAATTTGCTTGATGGGTTTGAACTTGGGTACATCAGAGAAGCCACTAACGGTTTGTCTAAACATCTTGATAACTGGTTGGTTGAGGGTTGCTCTTCATACTCTGCATTCTGTCGATTTATACTGATATGTCGCGCACTTGCTGTCAACTGTCAGAAGGCGAAGATGTTACTGAACCTTGCAGACAGTGCTGCAGTCACTGAAGTACATAAATTTTGGCCTTCGCCTACTAAAGATCAGTGGTTTAATTTAGAGGTTTCTATGAAGAATCTAATATTTTCGGAATATGCAAAGAAAACAAACATTTTGACATCTTCCTTGATGCAGTCTCAAATTCGCGATACTCTTCTTGGAGCTCAGAACACTCCTGCAACAACACAGTAGAATGTAGATCGATTAAGATTACTGAATTCAGATTATTTGTTAATCTTTCCAAATTAAAGTAGTTTAATTTCTAAATTTAAGATTGTAGTCGTAAATGATGATTTCAGACAGTATCTGAAACAAACACCATTAATTTGTTTTAAATTTTTTGATATGTATGTATTATTGTTCTTGAATAATGGAATTCATGGTACAATGATTTTTTTTTTCCATCTCTAATTCTGTAATTCTTCGTATAATATATTCTAGCATTTTTAATTTCAACCAAGATTCTTAAGATTTTCAATTTTTTTTTTTTTTATACTAATGTTACTAATTTTATCTGCATTCTTGTTTTATAATTATGCTAAATGTAATTTTCTGATAATCATCACAATGTTAAATTTAGGATATGTTTCCTATTTGCAATTGATAAGAGTTATGGCCTCAATGTATTGTTTAGCTTTCCTTCTTAAATTAAATTAAATTAAATTAATTCAATTCATTAATTAAAAGCCATATCATTTAGTTTTCCTAAATTAATTCGAGCTTCTTTCAAAAAAAAAAAATAAAAAAAAAAAAATCGAGCTTTATTTTTAAGTTGTCTAGTGCTCAAAGTTACGAAAGTATACTATAAAGATTTTTCTTAGGTTCAAATAGGAATAGCTTGGACTTTCTACCTATGCTCTAATTAAGCTAGTTCCTGGTGAAGAGTCGAACGAATTATATTTTTCTGTTCATTTACATGTATCATTTATCATGGTGTTATGATTGATCCATATGTTCTATTTGATCAAAGTTATGGAAGTGCTCCTCTGTCTAGGTTATATTAGGCTGAAAATTAGTATATTTTGGACAAAATTACACTCCTTCCGTTCCATAATGTTAGTCCCATATGGAATCAATCACATAAAATAAGAAAAGAAATATATGTGGAATCTAATATTAAAGTACAACATAATTCATGATTAGTTTACCTTATTTAACTTTTTTGATTTTTATTAGGAAAACACAAGTCATAATTGCATAATTTAAGGTAAATATTTCCTTACTTATAGGTATGCCATCAATCCACAACCAATTAATTCCAAAAAAAAAAAAAATCAAGTTATAAATGAAATATATTTAATATGGGTAGATCTTTTTGAAACATTCAAAATTATATACGGACTAACATTATGAAACAGAGGGAATATGATTTATCTTCATAATTGGGTGTTTTTGTTGATCAAATTACAAATTTTCCATTGATTTGCATTTGTCATTTATCAGGGTGAATTTTTTAAATATTTTATTGGTAATTTTTAAACATATTGCTATAACATTTTATCATTTACTAATATTATTATGATGATGACTTAGGCTCTGTTCTTTTCACCTTTAAAAAATAATATCAAGTAAAAATAATTTTAGTTCAGTAAAAATAAGTTCATTTCAGCAAAAATAAATTAAATTTAGTAAAAATAAGTTCAGTTCAGTAAAAAATAAGATCAATCTAGGGCCTGTTCTCTTCCGTTGAAATTCAGTTCTGTTCAGTTAAGCTCTTAATTTACGTCTAAT